CGAAGGGGCGCGAGCCGGCCTCAGAAGGGCTCTGCTCACCAATCGCGGTCATCCAATCCACATATGTATCGACAACACCAGCGTTATACAAGGCATCCGCGGCAAGGCGCCGGACTCGTCACAAGACGCGTTCCTCGAAATCCAAGAAGCGGCCAGGATATTTGATATACGGACGCACTGGTCCCCGGGACACCAGGGCATCGAAGGAAACGAGGCCGCGGACCGGCTGGCCAAAGAAGGAACGACACTGCCGGCGCGGATGGGTCAAATCGCAACACTAGCGGGTATCAAGCGGCTTGCAAGGGAAAAACTACAGGGCCACCACAGGAGATGGTGGTATAAAGAGCGAAGGCCGCGGTACGCGGACTTGGGGCTTGAGGCAGCTCTATCCAGCCCTCCTGAACTGGCCTTGCCGCGGGCTACGCTACATCACCTGCTGGCGGCACGATCGGGTCACGGGGACTTCGAGCAATATCACCGACGTTTCAACCACGACGACGCTCTAATGATGTGCTCTTGTGGAGAGGCGAAAGACGTGGACCACCTGGTCTACTGTCGACTAACGCTGGCGAGGAGGCAACGGTGGCCGACCCTCCACTCTCGCAGTATGCCCGAGCCCATAGGCCCTATGGGATCTCTCGAGGCCTACTTCAAGAGATTAATCACCGACCCACGAGGCTTCGAGGCCTTTCTCCGCGTGACGGACTTCTTCCAGAAGATCTGTCTGCGGTAGCAGCATCCACACCTACGTAGGTGTGAGTGCGGACTACAAAGAACCTCCCGATTCCAAGGGACGATTTGGGAAAGAATGAAACTGGGGCACCAGCGGGAACCGGGGACAGACAGAACGCGTAGTGGCCACAAGGCATGATTTGGAGGACGATGTAAAGAGACGACGTACTGTAGAGTAGGTAGCCTTGGCTCACGGCCCTCCACGCCATATACCCTTCGGGAGGTCTGCGGTAAGGGCTCTAGCCCGGCCGCCACGGCGTTAAATACAACAACAACAACAACAACAACGCTGGCGTAGAAAAGCTGATCAGTACACCCAAAACAGGCGACCAGGACAAGTGCCCATCCCGAGGCTTGACGTTAATCAGCCTGTAGAGATCGACAGTGAAGTCGAATTGAGACTCGTAACCCCCATCCTCGAGTGACTGGGTAATGTTGTCGAGGCCACCAAAGATATCGACGCCCGGGTAGAGATACTCTTCGGGAGGGTCTAGAAGAATATCGACGGTACTCTGGTATTCAAGCCATGGTCGCAAATAGTGAACAAGCGCGGTATCTCTTTCAACGTCCACTGAGATTGATCGAAGGCACTGGTATGCCAGAGAAGGCTTCACTACAACATTGTCTGCAAAGTGTCAGCCTATGTTCCACCTAATGTGTCTGCAATTGCTGCTGCTCCTTCATACCCAGCCTGAAGCTTTCGCGTGGGCCGTGGCATGGTGATGCGAATGCGAGCACGAACCCACCCTTGATATTTCACAGAGGGCTCAACAGCATGGGAACCGCAGAAAGGAGCTCCTTGACGTACCTGTAGTGTTTGTCAAACTTGCTTCGTCGTAGACCCTTCCAATCTCGGCACAAGCTTCGTCACCTGCGATCTGTCTACGAAGCGGCGGCGTAGATGCAGCCGGAGCGGCGACCGCAAATACCGCAAAGGGTAGAGCTCGTGCGAAGAGCGATGTGAACCGCACCATTGTTCTCACAGATACTGCTCCGAAGCAATCGCTCAAGAGCACAGGAGAGATCGTTGACGACCCTCGCAGGGCGCGTCATGATCGGGTGGCCGCTGACCTTAAGAGGGCGCGCGCGTCCAAGACATTTGGCCACACATCGCAATTAGCGGCTCTTCCTTCTGTGGCACCAACAGGCATACAAAAGTCCCGAATCGGGGCAATGCACGAGTTGGCAAGGCTGGGTTGCATTGGCGTTGCTTGGCAAAGTCGACCACCGTTTGTCATCCAACGAGTTGAAAGAGAAATTGGCCCAATTCTGCACCAACATTTGATGGGGAGCAACCCGTCGAGACGGATCAAAGTAGTGCAAGGGGCCAGCATCAGCATAAGTATTCAGCTTGGACGCAAGCTGAGCTTGGCTCGTGACTCCTTGAACATAGGTGATCCACAATCCTAGGCATTACGTAGGGGTTTCCTAGCTGTTGGTTGACGTGTCTTGGAAATGTGGTGCGGTCTATGGATGCTGCCAAGGCGGAGGGATGCACCACAACCCCCGCCAAAGTTCACAGCTCGAAAACAGAAATACACATCACCGAGTAGACTGGCCATCCGCGCCCTCTGAGCGCAAGGCCTGCCTCTATTAATAGTCTTCAAGCTCAATCATCTCTTCCATGACGCTTCCTAGCTGACCCACATCTATACTCTAAACATATGGGAGGTAGGTAGGCTATCTGGGGAGAATTCAAGGGTAACAAAATGTCCCCTCCTTCCGACCCCGCCGTAGCCACCGTAGAATAAGACTCTCGTTGCCCTTACTGTCCTTCTTTAAGCTACGTTTCTACTGTCCATACCTCACGCTACTCACACCTACTCTGCGTGTCTAGAAGTTTTGGTTCATGATGTTCAGGTTGGTTCGTATGATGTGGTGAAAAGTTTCCTAATTCGGCAATCGGAGCCGTTGAACGTGTTGTCTCAAAATCCGGCACCGGAGAAGTGGGGTAAGAACGGCAACTCAAAGACTCTTTGTTCGCCGCTTTCCTCGGCCACATCGCTCCGATCTATCTGCAGGGACCAACAGTGCTGGCTAGATCGTACCATCGCGTAAGCTTACCCCAATACTCAGACCGCGGGTTTCCCTTTGACTCATGCAAGGGCTAAAAGCGGAAGCTACAATGGAGGACCCGCAGCGGCCAGCTGGACGGACAGCGGAGGCTAAGCTTCATCAAGGAAACATTGAGAAGCATGACCAGCCCATCTGGAAGGCAGGGCGCACATGGCAGATGATAAACTTGCTCATAACTGGTGGGCGTAGAGCGCCATGCGATAGATAACACGGACCAAGCATCATTCCATTACTAATTCTATGGATTCGGGGCGCCTCGTGATTAAACCTTCCAGCGTCCGATTCCCGGAGATGTGTCAAGTGGATGCTCCGAGTTTAGCCGGCCCACCTTGCCGGGCTGGTGGAGCGCGCTTAGCTTATCTGTGAGTCCGAAACTCCGACAGCATTGAGTCAAGAACACGGAGCAACCCACTTCATTCTTATCAAGAGCGTCCCGCACCGCGACACCGACATATCTCAAATCTGACTTCACTCCTCATAGACTTTGCACTACACAGGCTTTAGACCTTACGGCATCACGAACGCTCAAGAACACAGATTACGGATAAACATGGGTTCATTACCACAAGCATCACCTTTCAGGGTCGCCATCGTCAAAGCCTACGAGATCGACGAGCCAAAGCACAGGGGAATGTTGCAGTCGTTTCGAGATAACGTCCTGCAACAAGTTCCAGATGCCATCATCGACGCATATCGACCGATGAAGGAAGACGGCCACCTTCCAGCGCCTGCGGACTACGATCTCATTATTATCACCGGCGGACTGAGCAACCTGTGCCAGGCGACCTATGAGCCTTGGGTCGACACCACGCTGGAATGGATTCGACAAGTGGTGGCGCAGCAACACATCACCAAAACCAAGCTGCTCGGCATCTGCTGGGGTCATCAGGCAATTGCAACAGCTCTTTCTGGCAAAGTCGGAAGTTTTGAACATCCAAGAGTGAGTGTCGACAATTAGAGCAAGAAACCTGTAGGCTCTACAGGGCGGATGCTAAACGAACCTTCTAGGTTGGCGTGGAATTACTCACTCTGAATGATGATGGTAAAGCACTTTTTGGCAAAGAGGCGCTGGTAAGTTCCCTCCGCAGCATATCACCCACCCGTGGTCAATACCCAGGTTCCAGTCGTTAAGACCTCAATCTCATCAGAAAATCACAAAATTCCATAAGCGCTTTGTGCAGAATGTGCCCAACGGCTTCAAGCCATTGGCGCCTGAGAACGAAATCCTCCTGTCAGACTCTGGGCTCGTCTTATCACTTCAAGGTCATCCAGAGATTTACGGCGAGCTTTCCAGACAGCTCTTCGATATGAACGTTCCATATTACAGAGCGACACTGCCAACCGAGGATGATCTTCAGCGATACTACTCCGAGATGTCCTCGAGCGAGCAGGACGCCAAGCTGATATTCCACAAGGTTACGGAATGGGCGCAGTCATGATTTCATCAGCATTTAGACATGAGCCCTTTAGATATGATTGCATAAAGCATAGATTCTATCAATAAAGACTACAGCGTTTCCCCTATTCAAGAGAATATATTCAATTCAAATGAATTGGGCAGAGGTGAATTTTTGATATTGTTTGGGGAATCAGGTGATCAAAAGGATCCAAGTTTCGGATCATCATCCTCTAATCTAGCGTACTCTTGTTGAGCTTTGATAGCAACATGATGTCCCCATGGCCCACCTGCCGACTTCATTAAAGCAATAGCTCGACGATGCATTTCGGGATGACGGCAATATGCAGCGGTGTGATAGAAGATCGCGACCGCTCCTATGTCAACTGATATCTTCCGACTCTCGACATTATCCAAAAAGGTAGAGAGCTGCATAATGAGTCCATGTGAAGAATCCGGCTCCGGAGAGAAAGGCGATAAAGTAATCATCTCTGTGATAATGCGCCATACTTTTAGTATCTTGACACATGGATCGGCGGCCAAGTGCGGCTGTTGTGAGATGAAGAGCGCAAATTTGTCGGACCATTGACGCAATGGTCCCGCCACGACCTGGTGCGTTCTCCCTTTGGATCCTGCGACTTTTGGCGGAACCAGAAGAACGTAAGTCAGGAGGTCGAGTTGAACATTTCGAGCGTGGGCGACGCTGGAAAACTCGGGTATGATTTGCTCCGGAGCTTGGACTACCTTGGGTGGCACGCTGGGTGGTATGGGCAACATTCTTGATTGCAAGACCAGAATATGGAAGATTGGTTTTATCTGACTTCGAATCAGATGTCCTCCTGGCGACCCAAGACTGGTAGTAGATGATGGGGCGTTGTGGGATAGCCACGTTGATAAGATCTTAAAGCTACTTGTGAGATGTCGAACAGCGTCCTGATAGCCTCCACGTAGCCACTCGAACATTATGCCGAGGACAGAACACACTAGGGTAATCTCGAGAGCTGACCACCCTCGATGGGTCATATGCGTATTGAGAAGGCTGACAGCTATTGTGTATTCTGCTTCGGCGTACTTGTACAGATTGACGGCATTCGAGTCGGAATTTTGTACCAAGCCAGACTTCAAAGACTCGTGGAGTGAACCAATGGCAACAAGCATTTGATGGACACACTGTTCTCGGTAGCTGAGTTGTAAGATGGTGGTGCTCCAGAACTCCACGTCAAAGTATCCAGCAAACTCAGGAGCCGAATGGCCTTGATAAAAGTTGATCCAGCGGCCGGTTTGCGGGGCTGGTTGATAGATAGCATCGTTGGGGTTGGGCCGGGGTGTGATTGATATGTATGCGCTCTTTGCGAGGACCGAACTGCGCCGTTCGTTGTTTGAGTCTACAACGAAGTCGCAGACTCTTCCCGTAGAAGCACATCTGTGGCAGGAGGGCCGTTCCAAGCCGCATCTTACATGGCGAAATCTGTGCCCAAGAAGACTCACTCAGCTTGCAATTTCACACTGTCCTCAAGCGCCTTGTCGGCGCAGCAAATGGGCTGCATTGATGGAACCGTGTCCAGCCAACAACTCGGTTCACTTACCGGCAAGTCGCGCAGCCAAGACGAGTTCGGGTATGTTTCGCCCTTTTTCGTGTCACTGTTGAGACAAGTTGATCGCTGTTGCTGTCTTCGTTGGAGACTTTGTTTGTGGTGGCCGGACTGTGCCTTTTCAGGGGCGCTAACAATACCATGTCTGTTGGTTGCGCTGGCAAATGTACGGCGTGGAAGTAAACGCGTCAAGGGTTCATGCTCTTTGAGATCTCGAGATATCCCAAGTGGGTAGTATAAGCAACTTTCATATAAGTTCCTGAATTGAGAGGAAAAGAAGCAGGTAAAGATACTGAATGCACGGTTGAAGCTGAGTTACCGATCGACTGTTCTTGCGGGAGCAATGCCTCAGCCCCGCTTCTTCCGCAAACATTGGTGATCGGCCGACCACGGATACTTCTCATTGGTTTGAACAGGCACGATGTCCAATCATACCTGCGAATCGACGATATCAGGATCCACATCTTGTTGGACGGCTTTCTACCATGCAAAACCAAGAACCGACGAGACATCGGGCATCGCGGGTATTGGCCGTGGGCCCCAGTCCCATTGGTGCGAAGGATTTGCCTACGGTCCATTGTGTTTCCATTTGCTGTGCCTCTTTAGAAACTAAACTTGATGAGGCAAGCCAGATTCCCAAGCATCCGGCCTTTGAGGACTGCCGTACCAGCCTCGGGCCCGCCGTATCACGAGTAAACTCAAGGAGGAGATAATGTTCAAACTGGCTCTGGAACTCCAAAGCAATGAGATGTTCTCTCCGTATGGAGAGCCGGGATGAAAAGTTCTTCATCTTATCTTGGATGCGAGGGTTGTCATTTGTCTATCTTTGGGATTAAATAAAGAAAGTGTCAAGCTTACAGATCTAATCGCCTACAATTTGTGAATGCTTGCCATCGTTGTTGAAGAACAAGGGAATCAGATTGGAAAGTCGACTAATCCAAACCAGACGTCCCAAGATTTCTACACTTCCACGTGGTGCATTTGCCTCCCTCAAGTTTCTGGCTATTGGACTTGCGCCTGCGGACTTCCACAAGAATAGGGTAAAGGCAAGCGATCTTAGCCTTGAATTAAATCCTGCGAAAGAACAGGCCGACGGTTCATCCAAATTGCGTGACAGGACTCCCTCACATGATCGGGAGGCAATGCAGGCCATCGTCAGCCGTATCGCCAGCAAGAGAATAAGGGGACAAGGTTCAAGTCCTGTTCATGGAGTTGATGGTCAAAACCACCAATCGGGAAACATCCATGCCTGCCCGCATATGGAGCTGTGCACAGAACGATAAGGTAAGGTGGAGCAAGGAAGATAGAATACTCGGCTTGGTCACGAACATTCGCCCTGGCCACAGCAAACAAGAATTTCGAATTGAAATGCTGATTCCATGTAATTGAAATCGAATTGTACCTCAGATAACTTGTCAAGAGCTATGCCTTGTCTTTGCTGAAGTTTTACCTCAACCAGGCACGATGCGTGAGCCGGCTTATATAATCAAGATGCACCGGACCCACTCCGAGCAGCCGGTGATGCCAGAACTTCCGTTGCCCAGAACCAGGCGATCGGCAAAGGTGCTACATCCAGCATCAATCCGCACACAACCTTCCAGCGCTAAGGAACTAAATAAATGTCTCTGCAACGATAGCAAGTCGTGAGCCCGTTGCTCTGAGAGGAGATCTTGAACATCCGCCCACCATGCGCGAGTTCATGAGCTACGTGCAGAGCGCGTTCTACGATGCCACCGGCTGGAACCGCGACAACTCGTACTCGACGCTCAACGCAACTGCAGATGGTAGGCTTGATGAAATGCGCAGGGCTCATTTGAGGAACTGCACGTTGGAACAACACTAACATGAAGGGCATCGGCAGCACTCCTCAACTTCCCAACACCGCAGGGCCTACGCCTCACGCTCTCCTCTCTCGCGACCCCTCACTTTGCGACATCATACCAGCTCGGCTCCGTAGGCGTAGTCGACGGCTCTATCTCCTACCTTTACTCCTCCGTGCCCCTCCGCGCGCACCTCACCCCGCAATCCGATGCCATACCATTGCCGGCGCTGCTGCGCTCCTACCGACCGCTCGCCGACCTCCCGCCCCGAACCTCGAAGCCTTACCCCCTCCTTAGCCCGGCCGCGGCCTCCCTGCTCTACGGCCGTTTGTACCTCCCTGAGTCCATGCTCGAGGCTCTCGTCGTGAAGAAGATATCCCCCGCGCTGCAACTCCAGCTCAGCGCCGTCTCGGGAAAGTTTCTGCGCAACGGAGGTACCGTCCTGGGACTGGCTCAGTATGACGTCGGCAGGTACGCCATCGAAGGCTTAGGTTCGTCCGACGGCGGCCTGCTGGGCTTCAGAGGCGCATACAACTTTGGTGGTGATACAGAAGATATTCAAGCTCTACGATCGGGCGGCAAGCTGGGTGGACACACGGACGAAGCGAAGGAACGAATCTACGGACGCTTCAGCGCCGGCGGGGAGATCTACTACGGCCTGCTTAACAAGTCGGGCGGCGTCAGTTTCGGCGGGCGCTTTGCGACGCTCCCGGAGCACCGCGGCACTCCGCTGACGGCGACAATGACGATCAACCCCCTGATGGGCAACATCAGCGCCAGCTACGCCGTAGTAGCAGGCAAGCACTGCAGTCTCGCGACCAGGATGGACTTCAACGTGTACAGCTACGAGAGCGACTGGTCCGTGGGCATGGAGCTGTGGCGCAAGAACTTGACCCGCAACCTCGAACCCGCCCTCTCGGCCGAGAGCTTTGTCAAAAAGGACCGCAGTTTCCAGGCAAAGCTGGAGTGGAGGCTGGATGAAGAGCACGAGGCACCCCAGCTGCAGCCGAGGCTTGTCGTGGAAGAGCCAAAGCAGGAACGGCAGAATAAGCCGAGAGAACGCAGCTTTCAGGCGAAGATGGAGTGGAGATTGGACGACGATCCAGCGGTGGATGGGACGAAGGAGGAAGCGGCGGCGCTGGCGGCGGAAACCGGCACGGCGGCAGAGTCCAAGGGCGCGGATGAATACGGCAGCGTCATCAAGGCGCGGCTGGACCAGAACATGAAGATTGGGGTCTTGTGGGAGGGGAGGGTCAAGTCCCTCCTGTTCAGTCTCGGCAGCGCCATCGACCTGCGCAAGCTCGACTCGCCGTTCCGCACGGTGGGCGTGGAAATCCAATTTTCATCATGAAATGGAGTCAACGGGCTTTCCGCCATATTACAACGTACCCACCGGTAATCTTCCCCGATGCGACGTTCTTCCCGACGTCTCGGTCGCAGGAACAGGCAGTTGGCGCGCGGCAGAAGTTCCCGGCATCCTGGCACGGCTGCATACTCGAGGTCCTTAGCACCTGAGAGGCTGAGGATGCTAGTACTACGTACCGCCTGTCAAGGTTGGACTCGACAGATCCCGGCTTGATGGCTATGGGTCTCGGACGCAACCCGAGGTGACGCCGCAGCTATCGATGCAGGATGGCGTCGGAAGGGCCGTGGTGGCTGCATGAAATAGGAGGAGGAGACTGCGGCGTCGACTTTGATACTAGTTCTCTCGGAAATGTTAGCCGAGAGAAAAGTGTAGAACTCAGAAGGGGGTCTGGGTCTCGAAGTCTCTGATGGCTTCCGTAAGTAATCTCGACTTGGTCGAATAGGTTCTTCATGACGATATCATGGACGGAAGCAAGCGACCGGCTTGGCTGAAGCTTAACTAGCAGAAACGGCATGGGCCAAGCTTTCTTGGCGGTGAATGGAAGCCACCCGCATTCAAAGGGCCATCGGGCGTACAATTATCTATGCCACTCTTGGAGATGTGAAGAGGATCTTCCCACTTCACTGATAGAAGTCAGGCTTGTGCTTGTCTAAGATGGGTGGCAGATCGGAGGAGAGCTGAACATCAGTTTCCTCCTAGAATGTCTCAACTCATTCAGCCGTAAACATATCACACGAGAATTAATCCCCAATCAACGTTCATGATTATGGTTTAACTATGTCGGTGTTTTGCCCCTTTCGAGCAATACCAGTAATATCAGCGATATCTCTCACTACCGGATGAGTAGCAGATAATGAGCGCATTCCTTGCGACGTCAAGATATCCCACCTCATTCCTGGATGCTGTCAGCTCCCCAACTGGCACCATCCTTGGTCCGTCGCGCTAGCTCGGCGCGGGTGCCCCACGCCTTCAGATTTTCTGCCAATTTATTCGGACTCTCATTGGCCCGCAAGCTGGCCATCAAGGTTCTCCGCACTAGCTTAACCATCAAGGTCCTCACGCTGACATTCAGAGCAGGTGCGTTGGCGGACCTCAAGTCTTTCTTGCACGATAGTTGCATGTATCTGTGTTGAAAGTAGCCGACTTTGACGATGCGTTCCATGATGAAAAATTACATGCTCTTGCACATGATGGATAGAATCATGAAGAAGAATTGCAAAGTGTCTTGTAATACTGCAATTTGCGCTGCTCTATCTTTGTTTCATGAATGCGGAAGCTGCAGGGGAGCAGGTGCTGGGTTGTCTTTGATAAGAGACCCGTGAGGTAAGAACAAGGTGCGAAAGTGGATCTGCATCGACGTTTGGCCATCAAGGTCCTCATTTTCCATTTTGCGCATCCGCCTGTGCCCGTCCCTGCGCCTGCCGTCCGCGCCTGACACCCGTGCCGCTCTGGTCAACCGTTCCTGGGTCTTTCCAAGTTCTCTCTGCAAAGCTCGTCTTTTGCCCAAGGTACCTCTTGCTCGGTATCACCGTCAACCTCGAGAAAGTGAACCGTCAAAACTCTAAACAGTAGACGGCTTTTCTCGACCATCCAGCAGCAATCGTTTCGAGGCCACCGACTTGTTCACACTGGTTCCCTGCAAGTTAGGATATTGTTTTCGTCTCTCGCCGTCTAATAATTCCCTCTCGTAAAATTTCTTTTTGGTATCTATCAGACGCCGTGCGATACAACATCGATCGAGGGTCCCAAACAAAAACAGCACACAACAATCCACATTGACGTCTCCCTTTGACCAGCCGCGCCATACCAAAGAACCACAGAAAGACCACCACCGGACAGAAGAACCGAAACAAGATATTTTCTCTTCCTTTGGTCTGCAAGGTGCCGGGTTTCCCGCTTGCTTTTGTGGTTCCTCCGTCCTCGTCGAATCCACCCTGGCTGTTTAAGCGGGGGGTCCCTCCGTCCTCTTATGCCCTCCTAACCCCTCTCCGCGACCGACGACCATCCGGGTTCTCGACACATCTTGCAACGCCGTTCCACGCCGCGCAACCACCGCAGCCCCCCCTCTTCGAAAATCGACAAAGAGAATTCCGATTCTTCATCGTCTCCATCAGAGTATCCCCTGTACTTGGCGCATAATATATACTGCCCAACGCCTATCTTGGAGCCTCGATCCTCTCCATCTACCAAGACGCCAAGCTGCGAGCCAAGACCTTCGAGGATCCATCTCCCAGAACGCACACCTCGCCCTGCCGCCCTTCAGCTCATCGTTGCTCCTCCCCGTCGCCATCTCATCGCGACTCTCCGACAACTTTGGCCTGTCGTATCACCTTGGTAAACGCACCTAGCCGCCGCTCAACCCAGGTTCTCGGAGACGCACAGGCTTCGAACCCAGTCCGCCGGCGCTTGTCACATCTCCCTGGTCGTTCAAGAAGCCGTTGCTCCAACCTGTACCGCCGGTGGTGCCTCGAGCTCGTCCACCTTGCTGTCATAGCCTTCCGGGTACTTACCTATTTGCGGTGACCAAGACCAGAGCCTTAAAGCAAGCACCCGTCGTAGGCTCTGCCAGCATCTGTAACGTATTCAGCAAGAATATCAGCAAAGATGAATCCTTTGGAAATGTCAGCGGCGAAGCTCCTCGCCCTCCGCCAAGATGATGGCTCCAGTGCCGATGCCGCCAACGAGTGCGGTGCCGCTGCCGTCGATGTCAGCAACAAGGGACTGCGCATCGCCTCCATCTTCATCATCATGGTCGCTTCGATGCTCGGTGGTTTCCTCCCTATCTTCCTGGCCAGGACCACTAGAATGCACGTTCCCAAGATGACCTTCTTCATCTTCAAGTATGTCGGTACCGGTGTCATTATCGCAACCGCTTGGATGCATCTGTTGTCCCCCGGTGTCGAGGCTCTGCACAACGAGTGCTTGGAGCCGATGCTGGGCAGCTACGACTGGGCTTTCGCCATCGGCCTGATGACCGTCATGGTCATGTTCCTGATTGAGATGATCGCATCCAATGTCGCCTCCTCTGCTTTCGGCAGCCATGACCACGAACTTGGCCACAGCAACAGCATGGCCACCAAGACTAAAGACATCGGGACCGATGGGACGAGCGCAACCGAGGTTTGCCCCCACGACGTTGACGCCGAGAGGGGTGTTGGCTTCGTCGACCCCAAGAAGGTGCCTGGACTTCCAGACGACGTTAGCTACCCGCCCGGTGGAAGGGATCATCTCGGCCATGCCCGCGACCACAAGGAAGGAGACAGCCACAACGGCCTCGCTGGCCAGTTGATTGCCATTTTCATTCTCGAATTTGGTGTCGTGTTCCACTCCATTTTCATCGGACTCGTCCTCGCCACCAGCGATGAGCTCGTCGTTCTCCTCATCGTCCTTACTTTCCACCAGTTCTTCGAGGGTCTTGGTTTGGGCTCTCGTCTTGCCACTGCCACTTGGCCTTCCCACGGCCGCTGGTGGCCTCACATTCTCGCCACCATCTACGGCCTGTCGACACCCATCGCTATTGCCGTTGGTATTGCCGCTCAGCCTAACAGCGCCAAGACCCAGACTCTTGTCAACGGAATTTTCGACTCTATCAGTGCCGGTATTCTGATGTACACGGGTCTGGTCGAGCTTCTGGCCCACGAGTTCATGTTCAACCCGCAGATGAGAAACTCACCGCTCAAGGTGCAGCTCTTTGCGTTCGGCTGTGTCGCGCTCGGTGCTGGTGTGATGGCTGTCTTGGCCAACTGGGCCTAGGTGTGACGGACTGACCATGACGGGCGTTGCGTGCAAACGAACGATGTAGAATTGGTGAAAACGGAACTGGAAATGGTAAACGGATTATGGGGGCAATCGGTGAAAATGATACCTGGGTCGGTGAGCCTGTGTTTAGTGCACGGTGTGGAACATTACTTTCGGAGGCATTTTGGATTTTGCATTAGGAGGAGTTTTGCATACGCCTCTCAGTTAGGCATATAATGGGATAGTGATAGAATGAATGTTTGCGATCGCAATTGCTTTGAGTTGAAGATTGGCACTGGTGATGTTGTGATTGCATATTGGCTTGGTCTGAAGATGTGATGACTATCGACCATTATGGCCAGTCATGCTATAGTCTGAGGCCACTACTCCGTGACAGCTCAAGATACAACAAGAGGGCGGAAACTCTGGTGACCATGGACTCATGAAGACGATTTCTTGTAATGTATCATTGTCATCAGAGTGAGGCTCTGGTGTCTTGAGCATGAGCCCCTCATTGAGTCGAGCGTTGGCCCCACATGGGTGGCCTTGAACCACGAATATTAGATAATCAGCGCTCGGATCAGAATGAAGGGTCCCGGTGACTCGGTGTGGCTGACGGGCAAAAAGAAATATTTTTGAACAAATGACGCACGTGATCTGTTGCCCCACAGGGCAGGAAGCCCTGCGCCAAGCTCCGGGAACCACCAAAAATTTACCATCGCAACTTTCGTGCACTTGCGCCTTTCGTCCTGTTGACCGACCGACCTCATCGCCAAATTTATCGCCCAGCGCCGCACCCAGTCCACCCTTCTCCCTTCAATACCCAACCAATACCGCAAAAATGGCCGGTGGAATCAACGTTCGCGATGTCGATGTAGGTTAACACCACGTTCTTCTCCATCTGGAGACCTCTCACCCAGAACCCAAAAACGAAAAATCGCAAGATTTCTTCGAACACTCGAATTGCGACCAAGATCACCACAAGAGTACTCCCCGATGACACCGCACTGTCCGCGCCACATCCTCGATAGCCCATTACGCCAACACTGCACTCCGGTCACGATCTCGCGAGTACCCCCCGAAGCTTGATCTACATTTTGAGGTTGTTGAAAAAGACCCTCTTGGTGCATCTTGCGGATGTCGCGACCATGACACATGGGGGAGGAAAGAGAGATGCGACGTGATGACAGGAAGTGCAAAGCAGGTCGGGCTCGTCGAGTTGTGGAGGACACGTCGGCGAGGGATACAATTGGGAGAACAGGCATACACAATTCGAGGAAACGGAGCAGGCGCGAGGGAGTCGAAAGACTTCTGATGACGGAATCATGCTAATTGGTAATCTTTTTCTCCGGTACAGGCGCAGAAGTTCATCAACGCGTACGCCGCTTTCTTGAAGCGTCAGGGCAAGCTGCCCATCCCCGGTATGTCTAATCCCTAACACTCTTTCTGTTATAACACGTCGCTGACCAATGTTCGCCATCAGGTTGGGTTGATATCGTCAAGACCGGCCCCGCCAAGGAGCTCCCTCCCCAGAACATTGACTGGTTCTACGTCCGCGCCGCCTCCGTCGCCCGCCACATCTATGTCCGCAAGACCGTCGGTGTCGGCCGCCTCCGCAAGGTCCACGGCTCCGCCAAGAACCGCGGTGTCCGCCCCTCCCACCACGTTGACGCCTCCGGCTCTGTCGACCGCAAGATCTGCCAGGCTCTTGAGAAGATCGGTGTCCTCGAGAAGGACGAGGAGAAGGGTGGCCGCCGCATCACCCAGTCCGGCCAGCGTGATTTGGACCGTAAGTTGCCATCTATATGCATGCCTTATCATAGCATTCATACTAACGCACCACACTAGGTATCGCCCAGACCACCGCTGAGGCTGAGGAGGAGGAGGATGACGAGTAAATTATTCCCCCAACACGATTTGAAAAGCTGTTTGCGGTAAAATAAAATGAGGTTCCGGGTCATGGCTACGGCAATGGGCATTGGGTTAGGCGTCTGAAAATGGATTACGGGTTTCATGATTGCAACATTTGGAACCACACCCAAATTCAAGTTCCGTCTTTACCTGGTGTGTTGACACTCTCTTGACATGTAGTGTGTGTGTGTGCCACACGCCCTGTAGAAATCACGTCGGACCTCATGTCGTCTTCACTGCTGTAGCTCCTTCCTGCGTGACACGATGTTTCGTGAGTTGGTGCGTGGCTTCTTGATGTGATCGACCTCCATACCTTTCTCACTATTGAGTATTAGGCTCACCCACCCCCTCATCGGCACGCTCGTGATTGACGCGGTGGCATACTCCTTCCCGCAGCGAATGATCCGTTCGCCCACATCACTACTTCAATTTAGTCAAGTGAAGGCGCCAGTCTCAGGTTGAATTTCTCCAGTCAACAGGGCCACTGTCACTAGCGTTTCCAGGCTCGCCATCCCGTGTCGCTTGATTCCAAAATTCTCAACTCATTCACACCTCAGTCTTACATTCTCCGGATCCTTCTCTTCTGCACCAGCCGGTCGACATCCTCTTGACATTATCACTCTTTCCCGGAACGCATCGCAATCACGCGCAAGTACGCTTTTGGGTATCTTGTACGCAACCGCAATACCTCATTGAGCTCATTCCTTTCGATCACCTACATACGACGTGGCCAAATTCATCTTCGCTCACTATACTCCTGCAGCTACAAGTCTCCGCCGCTTGGTTTAGTTGAAGTACCGATCTACCGCTGCTTCAACGATCTTTTTCACGGTTTCATTGTTATTGACCTTGCCGGTCTCCTCGGTAAGCCCTCTCATTCCCGTACCTTCCTTCGCCTAGCCCTCCCAACTATTGCGCTCGCGACGCGTCGAACTTCTCCTTCACTTCTTTTCCTTGATTCCCTATCACATCACTGACTCGATAATAGAGTACGTGAGGGAAAGCTCTTCTCGAAGTTCGAGGCCTCTCTCGAACTCCAGTACATCTAATTGGGACGACTCGATTATCACCAAAGTTTCAAGCTTTCTTCTCATCAACACTTGCCGAACCGAGGAAACAGCATGAACTATATCGTTCGCTCCACCGCTCAAGGTGCTGCCAGCACTAGAGAGGAACGAAGCTCACCTGGTCCTGGTAAGAACCCTATCCGTCTGCCACGCACATGCACTTGGCTCACATCTCATCAAGTCATCGTCTTGGAACGAAGATCGTGTGACGTTGCGGTACCTAGCGTGGAGGCCTACCGCCAAAGTCTACCATCCACGCTTGATCGCTTGTCCGCCCAAGGCTCAGAGAAGCAGGAACAGAACGACAGCGAGACCATCGTCAAGACAGAACCTATTACCGACGGTGATTCCTACCCCCAATCGCCCAGGAGCATCTTTTTCTTCAAGCGAATGGTGGACGGCCGGCCTCATTTCGACGCTTTGCAAGAGGTTGACCCAGGCCGAACGCAGCTGACTGACGAGCAAGCAAAGACCGAGTACGCGCTTTGGGAAACCGAAGAAGGCGACTTCATCTATAGACAGACCGGAACTGACTTTCGAATGCTACGGTGTATCGGGAACGTCGAGTATCGCGGCGAGGAAGGAGACACTCAAGTGAAGCACAATTTTGCCACCAAAACCTTGGGTTTCATCGCGATTCGGGGTGCAGATTCCTCATTGGATGTTCTCAAGCTCTCTGTGAGCGGCACATCATTCATTCCTCTTCGGGGGTCGAAGGACAACTTTCTCTACCATGCGCGATGGCACCGACGAGTGAAGAGAATGGCTCAACACCTTGGCCTCAACTTGCGAACGTTCTACGATGGCGCCGGCAAGCCGATGACAGCAGAGAATTGCGGCAATTGGAGGGCCGGTCATATCGAGAAGAAACTCGCCACATACATGGTCTATGCAACGGTGTTTGCCCACCATATCAAGCCGGAAGACAGTCACGACATCTCTCTAAAGGACCTAAGCCGGCTTCGCGAGCGCCTCCGAGACCAAGGTCTTGCGCCTCACTACGAGATACATATCAGCAGAGCGCCGTGCGGTACACCTCAGCGCCCCGGCCAGTGCATCCCGTTCGTGAGGAAGCTGGGCCGGGCCGCGGGCATCAAGTTCACGGTTCATTCTTAGGAGAACAATCTGATCCTTGATGGCTCTGTGCCCCGCAGACCCAGAACACGTCCAGTCAACAAGGAACTTTCCGCTCTTCATTCTCAAGAGCATCTTGCTGTCTCTAGTCTCAACGATGACTACGACAGTGAGGAGGAGGATCTCTTAATCCATCTTGCCGAAGTTGAGGGCCGTAAGGACGACATTGTGTATGACGGATTCGAGATAGCGGAGAACGAGCCTCGCACCTACGATGCTCGAGCTTCTCATGATGATGAGATCGACATGTCTGACAAGGATTCCTCCGCGCTTCCTCAGCAGCACATACCTCCTGAGGTGGCGGCACAGTTTGGCGAGAACCTCCGAGCGAAATTCACTCGAAAGGAAAAGCAAACCACAGAGGCGGCCACCGAGACTGCTGAAAGCACCGAGAGCGTCGAAGAAATCGAAAGAGAACTGTCTTACGTCGACCTCGACCGTCCTCCCTCACAAAGTCAATATTGGGATGCGCCTGCTTCTGCGGCCACCGATGCGGTACCGCCGGTACGTAGAGGTTTAGCAAAGGTGGACTCCAAGAAGACACGTGCCCGAAAACTGAAGAAGAGAAGAGCAAAGGCACTTGGGAAGAAAAATCCAGGTAAAACTCGGACACAAAACGCCGTACTACTGGGCTGCTGGCTGACGGCATGCTGGACCAGAGGGCTCTGTTTTTGCGGCTCGCCTGGGGGCGATGCTCGGCTCAAGTCAGCGGATTGGTTGATGCAGCTGGCAGATTAGTTGCGCATTGAAGCAAGAGTTGGTGGATGGATTTAGGATCGAAAGTTTGAGACTGGCTTGTTGAAATCCTTTTGTCTTTTGGGGATTTGAATCGTTTGGTTGCCATGACGTTCTGGCGGCCCAGCGTTTAGTCATAAACATACGGGAAGTTGCGGAGGTTGTCTTCAAGAAGGACGGCGATTGGGATTCCTCATGTGAGACTATCCCGGCTCTGAGGGTTTGCGATTGGTGAAGTAGACGCAATGGTATCACAGCCTAGCAGATAGCAGAAAGACTTTTATGTTAAGCTATCTCGCCATTTTGATTCTTTGCTGTCTTTCAATCACCGAACCAGTATAATTACATCGAAGATCATGTTTTGAGAAAGTATGAGCTTGCATTGCCTAAACCCGAGACTTCAACCTGAGTCGTTCCCCAAATCTGTACAACAACCATACGGCAGGAATAAAAGCAACTCCTATCAACCCAAGAATCGAATTGCCCCATCCATCGCCCACCGCTTCGTATAACTTGCCCCCGCAAAGCGGAAGCAAACCCCCACCCAAGCTACGTAACACGGTGCTGGCGGCTACTGCGCTGGCTGCATGCTCGGTAAAGGCATCGACCAAGTACGAGTTGATGGACATGAAAATGAGAATGGTACCGACTCCCACCAAGAAGGTACCAACTAGAGGCACCATGAAGTGAACGTTGTACTGCAAGGTCCAGCCGTACAAAAACAGCCCGACAGGGACTAGAAGGCTACCAGGTATTAATGGCGGAAGTCGGTACTCGGGCTTCATCTCTCCTTTGCGAGCCATGGCTTTCACAAGCTTGTCGGAGATGGCGCCGAGGGTCACGTTTCCTACGATGTTCCCAATGCCGAATCCCAAGTAAGTTAAACCGACATCGCCTCTACTCAGCCCGTATCGGCTCATGAAAGTCGAAGTCATTGTGGTGAAAATGATGTAGATGAAGCCGTAGTTGACTGCGGCGCAAATAGAAAGAGTGAGAACAATGGGTGAGTAGACAAGAAGTCTGGTCGGTCGGATAATTGCGTTCAGGAAGGTGGCCCGCGGGGACTTTTTGGATGCCATGATGGATGAAATTTCCGGGTTTCCGTATTTCTTGCGCAGCCTTCGAGCTTTCCACTCTAGTAGAGTTGGCGAATGAGTTTCTCGGAGCAGTAGTAGCGTGGCGATGTAGATTACTCCCATCTATTACACATCTCGTTAGTTAAGAACTACGGCTGATCTTGACTTGATACTCGTGCATGCATACCGCAATTGCTAGGAACCAAAAGCTCCACCGCCAACCAGTAGCCGCCGACAAGTAGCTTCCAACTAAGGGTCCAATGGCCGGACCCAGAAGTACCGGCAGGTTCCAGACAGCAAGCCCCTTGCCTCGTTCCTCCTGGATGAACAAATCTGAGACGCTAGCTGGACCGATGGCCAACGGGCAGGAACCAACGAGGCCAGTGATGAGACGGAAGACGATGAGTATCGGTAACGAAACCGACAGTGCGCAAGCAATATTGGCTAGGATGAAGAGAAGGGAGTTGACGTGGTACAAGACGAGCCGACCGTAGAGCTCGCTCAATGGTCCGTGGATCAAGGGTCCGAAAGCATAGCCAAGAACAAAAATGGAAACACTGAAGGATTCGAGGTCGATGTTGGTGGAGTGAAACTCTCTCATCATCTCGCTTGTACTTGGTGCGAACATTGAAGAGCCGAATGGCCTTATCAGCAAGATATGTTAACATACAACACCACTTTTCAACGCTTAAGCACGCACGACAAACTTACGAGATCAGGGTGAGTGTCGATATGAGAAGGACATTGATCCACTTCTTCGACACTGACCAGTTTGTTGGTTTCTCAACATCATCATCTTCCCAATCGACGACAACTGGAACGCTCGCCCCTTCAGCCCCATCCTCGTCGACTGCAAATGTAGCTGGTGCCGTTTCTGATTTTGCCATGTTGTTAGCAGAATTTACAAGAAGCAACGTAACTTCCTAAATGAGAGCCTTACAAACATCGAGGTTCCCAGCAAATCGTGACCATCTTCTTCACTTATACAAGCATCGGTCAACGGCAGCGTACAATCATCGGCTCGCCGAGTGGGTCTAAACCGACATCTCAACACGGCCGGACATAACGGCCTCGAAGGAACCCCTGCTTGCTGACACGGAACTGGCTCCACGCTGCCGAAACCGGTCCAATTATCATGTTGCTAGATGTCCCACACAACAGCTAGGGCGAATTTGTAACTGACGCCAGCTCAAGTTGGATAGAAGCAGCGCCATGCGAATGTCGTCACTTCGAGCAGCGTCACGACTGCATTACTCGCTTTGCAGCCGTGATTGTTTATCCGAGTTTTCTGTGGCACCTATCACTGCATCTTGTTTTCATTGGTCGCAATTGCTGACGGGCCGTGTTTCTGGTGTCGGCTCCAACGTCGCCCCGTCAGTTGCCGTTTTGCCAGCTACATGACCAAGTCCACTGCGTTTTTCTGGCTGCGGGTGCCAGCATCTCTTGCTGGATATGGTTGTTGAGCTTTCCGGGAAACACAATCCGCCTCGAGCGTTCTTGCTGCTTGACTTCGATTGGTTCCCTGGCTAATTACTGCAAATCTCTGAAGACATATCATGGCGATCGTCTCGTAGAAGGAACTCTCAAGACCCTTCAATTGGGCTTTGCTTGCGACATTCAGAGCTGAGCATCATCCAGAACCACTGATGCAGTTCTTCCGTTTCGACGGCAAAAGTGGGACCATCGGGGCCGACCTCGGACGGAGTCCGCCCGACCGCAAAGAAATCTTTGGCGCACGTGCCTTCGCTCCCAGGTTGTGTCACTCAACAACTCAACAGTGTCGTGGACCTCCGGCATCACGAATCATTTCTTCGACCGAACTCATGCCCTGTCATTACCACGAACAGCAGTCAGAAACTCGTTAAGGTCTTCGCAATGTCTTCCACGCCATCCCAACCACCACCGGCTACAGGCCCCTCTGCGCAGTCAGATCCCGCCACCTTCGCTCACATCGAGAACTACATCTCAACCCGCTGCAACGCATCCCCAATCTACGCATTCCTCTTCAACCCCGGCCTGAAGCTCACTCATGCCTCAAAAGGGCTCATCATTGCACGTCTGCCCGTCACCGCGAACCACCTGAACTCGTCAGGCAGCATCCACGGCAGTGTTTCGGCGACCATCGTGGACTGGGCTGGCGGCTTGGCAATTGCAGCATGGGATCTCCGTGAGGCGACGGGCGTGAGCGTCGACATCAACATCAGCTACCTTTCAGGCGCCAAGTTGGGAGACGAGATTGAGATTGAGGGCAAGATTGAGAAGGTCGGAGGCAGCTTGGCGTTCACCCACGTCAACATCTACAAGGTCAACTCAGCCGACGGGACCAGGGGTGCGACGGTGGCGAACGGAAGACACACCAAGTTTGTGAGAAGTCGATAAACACTCATGAGGAGTGAAAGGATTGCGACTAGTGCTTGAAGACTGGGTACGTTACCCAGGCCCCAGGGCCCCAGGCGGGCCATGATCACAAGACTGGTTCATGGCTGCTACTGCTGCTGCGGCTATTGGTGGTCAAGCTAAATTGATATTGGCTGGCGCAATAAATTAGATGAATAACGAATAGAAAGACAGGTATTAGAAGGGGCAAGGTTCGTGATAGCTGCCTAAACAAAGTCAGTATTTGAACCCGCTGTTCGGCGTGCCGCGGTTGAAGTTCACGAATCACCAGTGGGCAGATGCCGGAGTTGACTCCTTCTCGTCGGTATGTCATCAGCTTAGCTGGCCGTTGAGATATGACATAGTTACGGCCGTTATTGAGGGAACCATGATCGTCACATGTTGAGGCCAAAGACGTCTGGTTAGGCTAATGTCCATCTACTGGCTCACGCTCACTAGGATCGTATTGGATACCACTCTGGTCCCACATGGTTCGGACTCTGATTTTGTTGTCTTTCGGAAAGTCGACATGGGGGCCAGGAGTTTGACAACGTGGAATCAACGGAACTAAGCGCCAATATGAAAAATATATCCTAATACGGATCTCAGCACAGCTATGAGAGGTGTTGTACCCAGGCGGGTTCAAAGGCCGTTGGACGAAAATCAGGTCCGGGTTTCGAAGGATCCCAACCGAGCCAGGCAGCAAAATAAAAGAGACCCGTTGCACCGTTGCTATCGTGGTGTCTGTAGGGTAATAATGGTTTGATCTGGCCAGGCGTGCGCTAGTGCTTATGCCGGAGGTAACCCTGGCAAGCCCTTACCGGTCAACCGAAAATGTCAACATCACCCGCTTCAGGATGACTATCCCGGCTATCATTCCGCCTTTTACTTAACATCGTTCTTCATCTCGAAACCATGATACTAACATATAACGAGCGAATTTTGCACTACATATCATGCATTGAACTAGCTTAGCACAGCAACATATCCAGCCACAGATTGGCCATTCTAGTCACCATGAATGATCTTCGCCCTATGATCACAAAGTTTGCCCTCGACTCGAAACCACAGCAAGTCCGGGCCAGCAAGCCAAAGGTTCGCAGTGGCTGCGTCACCTGCAAGTAAGTCACATATGGAGGATTTGCCTTGTTCAAGCTGAGTAATGATACTCATGCCATCTCCAGGCTTCGCCGCGTCAAGTGCGACGAGGGCAGACCAGCATGCGCGGCCTGCTTGAAGTATCAAGGCCACTGTGGAGGCTACAAAGAGAACAAAACTAAGCCCTCCAAGTTACCACCCAAGCATCGGCTGCTGTATCCCAAACCAAACCAAGAAAAGAAAAGAGTCCTCGATGTACTCCTTGAGCCAAACTACTCGACTCTCGTCTTCTCGAGCCAGCTGGAGAAGGACCACTTCGACTACTGGCTATCCTTCACCAACACCGCCATTCTATTTCGATCCGATCTACTCACACAGATTATCCCGCAACTCTCATGGAACGACCCGGCCATCAAACATGCAGCTCTGGCCGTAGGCGCCGCGGCCCTGGGTGCCACTACGCGAGAACAACGTCTCCTCGGGCGAGGTAGATTCGACTCGGACGCTTTGTTCCACTACACGAAATCGATGAACATCCTCTACTCAACACCAATGTCGCTTGAACGTACATTGACAGCATGTCTGTTGTTCATCATTTTCGAATGCTTCCGAGGCAACAAGGCAGCTGGACTGAACCACATCAACCACGGGTCCCGAATCCTTGACCAGTGCCCACAAAGCCACGGCGCGGAATCGAGCCGTCTGCTGGAAGAAGTCATGACTAGCTTCCAGTACCTGAGTCTTCAGTCCTGGACTCACGGCGGAGCGCACCCAAAGGAGACAAAGAGCCGAGTGCCATGGTGTTGTCGCGGACGCAAAACACGATACGCTGTCGACGAGATGCCCACAAAGTTTGAGACGTTGGAAGCTGCCCGCCGTTGGTGGAACGTCGTTCGCCACCACGTCGAGCACCATGCACCACTATGCACTGGGTTCATAGTTGAGGGATCTACCGCTCCATTACCAGAGAAGCCGCCGCTTGACTACACCTCGCCGAGCTCGCAGGCACGCGTCCGGAGTTTCGTACGCTTCACCGACGCCTGGCACCTTGCCTTTCAACCGCTCGCCGTCAAAGCAGAGACCAAAAATGAGACGGACCCTAAGAGCTACTATAAGGCCGTTAGTCTCAGAATCCATTACTTGTACCTCTGGAGCGTGATACGCTGTGCCGGCTGGACCGATGTGGAGGACACCAAGCGTATCACGCCCGCGTTTATGGACATTATATCAATGAGCAGACAGCTCCTCGAGGTGCACGACGCCGAGAACCGGAATGGTGCAGAAGCAACAGAGATTTTTACGATCGAGGACGGCCCGACCTGGCCTCTGTGTACTGTGTTCCTGATGTGCACAATGCCTGGAGTGAGACATGCTATTGTACAGCTCTTTAAGGACTTCCCTCGGCGTGACGGGCTCTGGGATACGAGTGCATTCCTAGTCATCATGGAGTGGGTGAATACGATGGCGTCGACGGGTCGTATCACGAATGACCAGCGGCATGTTGTCGACTGTGATGTTGTTTTTGGCGAGTCCTCCGTGACCGTTGAGAAGCAGCTTTGGGACCCTGTGGCGTTGGATTGGGAGAGTCGCAGTGTATGCTTTAGTTACTAAGTACCTATACGGATTAACTATGAATGATCGTTCATACTCTAATTATGTGCCAGCCTGACGTGCCTATGCACTGACAGGGAGAGGGTCAGTGCGTCTTGTGACTAAGGCTTTCTACGTACTTTTCAGCTTTAACAAGATAGTATGGTGACAAGCAGCCGTATTAAACAGCTTCTTATTCTGACGTACCCTCACCGCTCACGCTGCTTATTTGATGCCTAGGTAGGCAGCCGGTGGGTGTTGATCTTCTAGAACTCGCTTGGCATCCGCGGGATCCACGGACAGACGAAACCAACACAGCTGTGTCAGTTTCCAACTGCATACCATGATTGACTTCATCGAGGGAGCATCCTGTGGTAAGGCAAACCCTGTATTCTGAATGATTGACTGTATTTGTTTCTTGTATCAACACCATCCCGCAACGTGAAGTCTTAAATCAAGTAGTAGGAGTCAAGCATAGAAGGAATGATACAGCAACACCGCCTAGTGGAATCACTAGGTGTACTGGTCTATAAACATTGTTTGCTAAGGATATGCAGCCATGGATCTTGTCTAGCAGATGATTCATCACGATATCACAAAAAGAGAAAGACAATGATTTTGTGCATGTAGCCATTGACTCGATGCATCGATGTCTTCGGGGTTCCATCGGTCGCCGTCGTTCAATGCGACAACACCACAAGCAATGCCCTGCCTCTTGAGAGTTTTATTTCGTCCGTTATTTTGAATGTCTAAGCTCTAAGAAAGCTAGGCACATAGAGCGCATAGTATTGGATGGCAGCTGCCACAAATAAGCCCTCCGTCTCGTACTGTGAGCGCACCACTTCGTCCGGATTTTGAAACGCTTTAACACACGCCTGACAACCTGTATCAGACTGCCCCTGAGAGCAGTGCCGTATTTTACAGTGCCTAGATTGTGGGAGGTAGGGAGGCGCTGTCTACGCATGTCCCAGTCATGCCACAACTCGCCTACGGCATGCCCGCCTAGAGTGCCACTCAGCAACTTATTGTTACAAACCTCTGAACAGCACGGTCCAGCTACTGATCAGGTGTCCGCTGCCAGACGTACGACCAAGCTCCTGTGGCAGCGCGTGAACTGGAGACTTGGTGTTTCAGGAATCCGTGTTGCCCTTGGCTGAATTCATCCCGTCGGTAGGGCTCCCCGCGCCAATACCATGTCTGCCGCGGATCCGGGGCCAAGAAATCATCAAACGAACGAAAAAGAAGGATTAAGCGGTAACTCAACCCAGAAGAGCCAGCGATCACCCAGATTCTCCAGCTCCCTGTACTGATTAACACCGAAACCGAGAGGCTGAACAACGGGCCCATCGCCCTATCCATCCCTTGCCTATAAGACAACAAGTAACCAACAGTCTGCAAAACCCACTGTCGCGGATGTCAGGCGTCTCGACATCGTTTGAGGGAGTCCGCACTGCAACTCCACGAGGACTGGGGAAGGAAAAGAAGGTAAGAAATAAGCTTAGAATGCACATGTTATTGTTGATGAGAGTCATATTGCCTGGACGCGACTGCGTATAAATGAAACCCATTTCCGATTATTCAACATCGATCTTCAACAAACAACTTCCAATCATCGCATTCCGACCTTTTCTCTTCTACTGCTGCCAGGCGCACTTCGACTATTGTAATTAATATAAACCTTCAGTCTTTTTATCAATCCACAACTACTCTCGCCACCATGCAGTTCTCCACTATCTTCTTGACCGTCACTGCCCTTGCCGTTGGCAACGCTTTCGCGGGTGAGCACTTCCTAGTCGGTTTCGGACCGGATGCACAGTACTCGAGTTACTTAGTTACTGGCCGCTGACCATGTTAAAAACAATAGCTACGGTACCGCGCAACTTCATCGACGGAAAGGGCAGCGCCCTGTTTGGAAACGCCGGGACAGCATGCTCTGTAGGCGCCAAGGATGGCGAATGCGATCAGTTCGGACGCTGTGTTCAGTTCATTCCTCCCAATGAGCAGTCTATTCTCAACCAGGGAAAGAACGTAGCTACATGTACTGCAGGTGGACAGACTGGCACACTCTGAGGGGAGTGTGGAACACAAATCTCACGGGATTTAAATCAGGAATTTAGGTGAAGCTTAAGCAATTCAATACATTGAACTAAGCGTTTCGCAAATCATGCCGCATTGCTACAGTCTGCGAAAAACAGATGCCCATGGTGAAACATCAAGATAGCGCCTACTTCTCGAGTTTCAACCCAAGGAGGTTTGCTGGAAGCCTATTCTCAATGGTGCAAAGTCTCATTTGCTAGCTCAAATGGAAGGAGAACTTATCCCGAATCAACCGGTCGCCGATATCCGATTTGCTAAGCTCGACCCGCGAACAAGGATATCTAACGTGATGTAAATTATGCGTAGGAATAGGCCATTACCAAGATACTGAAATAAGTAGTACCAACGGTTCGGGTGTAACAGCGGCGGTATGGACTCCAGGCCATGAGCGTATGGTGGTAGCGGAGGCTATGGCTTCGGGAGGAGGAGGAGGAGGGAGAGACAGCTTCGGAATGTCTTCTCTAGGTCATGTGGCAAGGTGCATACAAGAGCAGGAACTGACTGAACAATATGGAGCAAGCATATGTCACAGTAGCAACCAGACTATAACCAATCATGGAACAGCTTAGACGCCCGTCTCTGTTTCACTTCATGCAACCTGCCTATCGGTCAGTTGGTTCCTGTTTGTCATTACTGCGCTGTGTTTAGACACATGTATAAAGTCGTGCAATCCGTTGAGTAATTCGCTGCTGCAAAGTTGGAACTTTCAAAGCCAAATCATTCCCTGCTCATGATAGGATTCCCTGTCACATTCAGCCCCCAAGGTGATATCATTGTCAGGGCTCGGTCCCCTCAAGATGCCGTGTTCCATTTGCCAGGAGTTTATAGATTCTACCTGGACAGCCCGGGTCGGCAAATTGCACCCTCATCACTTTAATTGGCGGAGTCTACAGAGTGCTGTGGAAGCTGGATGTTATGTTTGCAATAGGGTGTGGGCGATTTTACCTCCTGACACAAAATTTCTAGTCGAGTACCTGGCTAGCACCGATGAAATTCCCGAGGCAAGCTATAAGATAGATCGTGTGGAAGCATTTGAGTCCATTGCACGTTATGAACCTATCACAATAGTATACTGATCTTTTGATGACAACACGACCAAAGAGCGGGATTTCCTTCGAATTAATATCAACCAACAGGCTTTCCCGTCATGGGATTCCATCAAACAAGTGCCGAACCCGACAGTATATCTAAGGCTTCAGCCCTGCCTCAGTACGTGGAACACATTACAAGGTACGGTGCAAATAATTGGAACTATTGGAATGTTCTTATACTCTCTTTCAAAGTTCTAAAGGGAATGAGCTGCTTCGTGACGAAAACCGGGTTGACTGATCACTCAATAGATTCACATCTGCCCAGGTCTGCGGGATCAGAATTGAACATAGCTTGTGTTTTGCAAAGCTTAGCTCAGGCGAAGTCTTGGATTAAAGACTGCAAGCATGAGCACACGAAATGCGACATGATTGAGACGAACTCGAAATGGCATCCGACACGTCTCATCGATATCGGCCCTCCGGAAAAGTTGGGAGACGTCTGCCGCATGGTCAATACTGGTGAAGAGGCAATCGAAGGACCATATCTGACCCTGAGTCACTGTTGGGGAGACACTAAGAGTCTCGTCCTGACAAAGAACAATGCTGTTCAGCTCTTTGAAGGCATTCCTTCAGATGACTTACCGCTACTGTACTCAAATGCAGTCTTTGTGGCCCATATAATTGGTATACGATACCTGTGGATTGATGCTCTTTGCATCATCCAAGAGGGAGATGACTTTGCACACTGGCGCCACGAATCAACGCTCATGGATAAAATATACTCTCATGTATTTTGCAACATCTCCGCCTTGTTTGCGGAGGACAGTGACGGTTCCCTATTCAGCAAACGCAATCCTGATGCTTGCCGACCGCCAGTCATCTGGCGAGACGTTGAAGGCCAAGCAATCCCTGCTTTTCTTTCAGACGCGAGGTTCTGGTCTAGCGAGGTTCTGGGGCAACAGGTGAACACAAGAGCATGGGTACTTCAGGAACTTCTTCTTTCTCGACGTATCTTGTTTTTCGGCGAGCGTCAGGTATTATGGTATTGCCGATCCACTCGCAAGGCTGAAATATGGCTCCCTGACGCTCCTATCGAGGATGTCACCAAATTAGGCCGCATCGAAGATCTCCATCTTGGATGTGGCAAAGCTTGCGATAAACCCAACGACGTACGGAACGCACATCTTTGCTGTCATGACATTGTCTCGACATATACTCGCTGCAAGATCAGCTTTCCAGTTGATAGACTGATTGCTCTTTCGGCAGTGGCAAAGGAGATGATGCAAGTGCTCGAGGATGAGTACATTGCAGGCATGTGGCGCCACCATCTAGAAAATGAACTTGTCTTGTGGAGCTCTTTCGCTTTGCAGCCCTCCCCAAGCCTGGGTCCTCAGGCCTACCGCGCTCCAAGTTGGTCATGGGCTTCAGCAGAGGCTGCGGTCGTACCAGGTCGACCATACAAGGACTGCAAGGTTGATAGTTTCATTTAGGTTGAAGATTATTATCTCGAATATGTCACTGGCGATAGGACCGGTTTGGTTTCTGGAGGGTGGCTTCGTCTGTGGGGAACCCTAAGGCAAATGAAGCTTTGATCCTCTGAGAGACGGCGATCAGATGAGGAACATCAAGCCTGGAATATAGTTTCCCAGGTTGATTCCCAAGACGCAATGCATATGTGGGTGAGGCTGGACGCGTTCCACGAAAGTTTTGATGAGCAGAACGCCAACTCGACGCTCTACTTCATGCCAGCTGAATGGAATTACTGGGAAGCCGGCAGAAGCTCATTCACAGCCAATGAGCATGACATCTTCTATGTCTTGTTGCTTGAACTGCAAGACAAAAAACTGGGCGTCTCTCGGCGCCTTGGAGTAGCCTATGCCTATGGTACTGCAGGCGAGGCAAAGGGTAGTGTCATAGCTAGAGAAGAGGGGGAGGACAAGTTTCCCTGCGAAAAGTATAGCGAGGGAAGGCACTTGATACGCATAATCTGACATGCGCTGCAGGCCTTTCTGTTGGATTAACTACTTACACTCTGAGTTTTCTCATACTATTTCATGTTATCAACGTTGTTGTCACGAAAACTCGACCTGCTATCAATATCAAGTATGTGTTTATAGCAAGATATTAGTATATTGACCTTCAGGCTGATGTGCCACGATGGATTCGTACTTCAACGCCCACAGGCGTATCGCGACTCCTGTAGCTTATGACGCTGCTGAGCTATCATGGTCGCTTTTCAAGCCACCTATTCTTGCCCTTACCTTGACAAGACGGCATGGACAGCCTTGTCTCCCTCATTATACCATGAAAAGGCTCCTCTAGACCGATGTCCTCTGCCTTCTTGCCCCCAAGCTACAATATGATACACCTGAGATGCTGAGATGTGAGCGGACGGAAAGCAGCTAGCATCCTAGCTTCTTGGTCAGCACACTCGAGATCTCACCGATCTGCGCGACGTGAGCCATAGGTGAGATCATGAGAGAGTACACGGGATCCTGACGGGTAAGCTTCCTTCCAAGCCACCAGAACCGCGCATTAGCCCTGTGATGGATATGCGAGTGTTTTCAGGCTAGGGAGAAGCTCATCACTCCAATGGTAATGCGCAATAGTTCTTGGCTACCAATCTGATGCAATCATCAAGACTTACCTGCCTTCCCGATGCATGCCGACGTACCCTCTGAGCTTTCATAAAATTATGGGGTCAAATAGCTCAAGAATAAGATCCCACCATCATGTAGAGTCCAGGACAATGTGTGCGTACGGTACATGACTACATTGAGGGGCATCTTTTCAGCCTGACAGAATGTGCAAGACAAAGAAAGGCAAAATCCGATCAACCATTAGACTTCCCGCAACACCATCAGAACCTAAAAGTCTAATCAAACCCTTACGGTCATATGAATTTTCGCTGGCGCTGAAACAGAGGAAAAATTCATGTCATTCATGTGCTCGCACCAGGCAGTACTTGACCAGCTCGATCCAGACGGGACTCGAGCCCGCAAGATTTTGATAAAATTTCGTAACCTTATTGGGGATTTCTCTATTTGTGAAATCAATCGAAGCCAGACGCCCTACCAATTAAGCCACCGGACCGAAGCGAACTGAGATAATTGCTTACTCATCGATGAAAGTGGAACGGTACACGATGGTCTCATAATGTAGAGTGAGCTGCAGAGGTGCGGGGATTGTGGTCTCGAGGTGGATGTGAACTTGTGAAGACGGCGTGGTGGGGCTGCCTCATCTGACTTACACGAGGTTGAGACCATCACCCCGGGCGAGAAAGACCTGATGAGAGGCGAGGGGTTCAGAGACTGATGAAAGACGCAAACATGCTGAAAGACTCATATGAGGTACTAGTAATTTGATTAAACATTGGTATCTCCACGAAATGACTTGCGCCGATGGGGTGTCCCTGGTATATCCACCCATGTGTGTATGTATGTATAGCCGGCGGAAACAAGCAGTGTAATCCAACGCAACCTTGTCCAGAAATTCTCAACGCGATGCTCCATGCCATTTTTACCCAATCCTCACTCTTTCCACGAACTTTCACCACACGAGTCACCGAGACTCTAGGCCTTGTACCAGTTCTCGGGAGCGTCGCCGAGGCACTCTCCGACAGTGACGGCGCGGTAGCCCTTGGACTTGAGGTTGTCGATCATCTTCTGCACCAGAGAAACGACAGTCTGCTGGTGAACGTCGTGGGAGAGGACAATGTAGCTGTTGCCCGCGGCGTCGGCGCTGAGCTCGTTGTTGAACTTCTCAGCCGAAATGTGCGTGGTCTCGGGGGTATCGTTCTCGTAATCCTTTGTATCGAGGCTGGTGTCGATGACGTGGTAGCCCAGGCTAGCCATATCGCTCAGGCAAGCAGCGTCGCAGGACAGGAACGGCGCGCGCATGTACTTGGGCGCGAAGCCGGCGATACGGCGAGTAGCGTCCTCGAGCTGGGTCATCTGAGAGATGCGGTCCGCCGAGGAGAGGGTGCTCAGGTCCGGGTGGGAGTAGGTGTGGGAGCCGATGAGATGGCCCTCGGCCTTCATGCGACGGATGTTGTCCGGACCGGGTGCCGTCTCGATGTTGCCCCAGTTGTTGCCGTTGACGAAGAAGGTGGCCTTGACGTTGTTTGCGGCGAGGGTGTCGAGCAGCTGGGAGGTGTACGTGAAGGGGCCGTCATCAAAGGTGAGGGCGACGACGCCGTTCTGTGTGCACTTAGAGATGACTTGACCGACGGCGGGACCTTGACGGCGAACGAGAGGGCTGTGAGCATGATGTTAGTTTCATGTCTGTGTCCGAGGCCAAGAAGGGCGAGCGGGAATGTACCTTGCGTTGGCGAGGGTAGCCAGTGCAGTGGCGCCAAGAACAGTTGAGAAATGCATGGTATCGGTTGGTTGATGACTAGGGGGATTTTGAGTGACAGGGAAGGATGAGATGTCAGTGAGACTGGGGGACTCGGACGTGAGTAGATATTAAGCTACAAGATGCTTGATTAATCTTGGCTGTGAAGGCTGGATGCAGGATGAAGCAGAGTCGAGAGGTTGGGCAGAAGGGGAGGGGGAAAAGACGACTTATATGAACCAAACTTGGGACGCAACGGAGATGGGTCTGAACAGGGAAACATGGAACAGTTGACGGTCAGAGTTGAAGATGGGCCCAAGCCAAGAGTTCACGTATGGGTCGACCCATCTCCGTACCTAGAATAGAGTCTAATGAGAAATCCGCTAGAAGGTAGAGAACCCGCACGGCACAGCCTGGCGGCGGGGTGGTGGACGGACTGGATAGTCAACCTGCCTCATCGTGGGAGTGGGTTTGAGAAAACGGGACGACTGCGGACCAAAGACGGTGCCCCATCCATCCATCCATCCCGCCTTTCGGATCGCGCAACAGCAGCAGCAGCACTTGCTTGCCCCTCGTCCTTCGCGTGCCCTCGTCCTTACAACGGACTGGCCGCTCAGCCCTAGGCTGCCATAGAGCCTTGGCGGGCACGAGGAATAGCACCCGATGAGGCTCCGATACGAACCACGGTACTTTAGTCATGATGATGGGCAGGGTAAGTTGAGCGACGACGGGGACTGATGATGTGCCGTGGGGGGAGAAGATCCACGGCGCGTTTTGACGTCAAGAGGCTTAGAGGCATGTAAGCTGACTGGACGGAGGGATCAACCTCCTGTAGGCAGACGCAGAACAGGGTATCTTGCAAAAAGAGAGGCGGCCAACAAGAAAAAGGAAAACCGTAACGCATGTAGGTACTTCGGGATGTGGATGGAAGGGAACAGCTCGAGCGCTGGCTCGAGACGTCTGTCATTCTGTCACCCTCGACCAGGTTTTCTGCTCGAAAAACGTACCAGTTGCTCTCGCCCGAACGGCGGCGCAACCAGAACGGCATACTGGCCATGTAGCAGGGGAAAAGATGGGAAAATCAGGCAGGTTGGGCAATACATCGGAAATGGCTGGGATGTGGCGTGAACGGTGCCAAGCAAAACGGTAAGCCTTTGGTGCAGACCTGCGAGGTATCTATTTACGCCCACGACGAACCAAGTTGCGAGCGTTCAGCCAAAGGTAAACGGGGTGGAGTCAGCCACAAGCGCCGCTCGATACTGTCTCGGGATGGACCTTTGAGGTTTGTCGTGCTTTGGTTGCGAAGCTATTGGGACGCCGTTGCGGGACAAAGGCCGCAGATGTGGTGTTTTTTTTTTCTTCTTTTTCTTTTTCCGAGGCTGGGGGTCTTTTCTCATCCAGAAGAGGCCGAAGACGCCAAAATGGCCAGAACCGTGGTGCGCGTCCTCGATGAGAAAGAGAATGAAAACGTGTTTCAGATACTGTAACGAGGGGTTCCCCTCGAAGAATCGAAGGGACCCCCTTTCGTCGCAGCACGGGAACCAGGACCTCGTCGCAGAAGAAAGGCGTGTGCTTTCTGCAGATGGAAAGTACACGGCCCGGGAGAAAGGCGACTCGGCTCACTCAACTCACTCAACACTGGAGGCAGCAGCAACAGCAACAACACAGACTGTTGCATTGTGGCGCGGTACTGCTGGTGCTGAGGTGATCCGGCAATAGCAAAGAAGGAGAAATGCCGAACGAGGCTCTCTTTGGCTCTCTGCCATGTCTCTGGGGCTTAATTGCCCTTAGGGCCGTCAAGCGTCTCCAGGATTTCCAGGAATACCACCACGGGCAGCGGAAGCGTGGAGGCTGGGGATCCCAATGCCTGCCAACCTCTCCACTCTCGCGGATAACCATAGATCGTCCCGCCGATTATCTCGACGTCGCTTCCCAGTAGGGCTCTGCGCTAAGGATTAAGTTACATCGTGCTAGTGTGAATTTGTTGTCCGTCTGCCTGGGGCGGAATACGGAAAGCGCTGAGCATTTCGCAGTACCTAGCTGCCACGCTGCTCACAGTTTTTGTCTCACACACACACGCGCGCGGGAGGAGGAGGAACTTGGAAGAGGGAGGGACGGAAGTGGACGAAGGAGAAGAGGACGACCCCTGGCTGGTGTGGTAAGACGACAACGAAGCTGAGTTGCCGAGTCGCTGAGAAAGAGGATGAACCTGTTTGCATGCTCTCGTTTTCTTGTCTTCCATCTGTTGACTCTGAACTCAGGCCAGGCATGCCCAATGCACCAGGGACGTGTGCCAAGGCCCAACTGCAAACTGCGACTGGCTCGCAGATGGGCTCTCTGGAGTCTCTCTGGATGGCGATCGTCCAAAGCCCTTATGGGAACCCATCTCTCGGCCGGGCGTGAAATACGAGGACGTCGTGGAACTTTGCTGCGATGCAGGAACTGGGGGGGGGGGGTGGGAGGGTTGTCGTCAATTCTCGTAGGATGGACCTCAAGGCCCTATGAACGCCGTACAGCGTGACCTCGAGAACTCTGAAATATCGGAATGCCCCGCGTAAGACGACGATATCTTGGCTCTATTTCTCTCTTCCCGCGCCGCCGCCCAGGCGCATTGAGCGACGAGTGCGCTTCCCGCCTTCAGAACTTGTCATGGTGTGACGGTGAAGCTTGGCCTGTCGTGGACTCGTCCGTCAGCTACTGCTGCTGTTCACCCTCCCAGAAAAGATGGGCAGACAGCGAAGCCGAGAGTCTCAGCGGCCTAGGCCTTCCTTGACAGTTTCTTTCTGATGGTGCCCTGTCATGATCGGGTCTCTCGGTGCATAGTGGCTTGGCAATGCGACCGCCGGACTCTGTTGAATAGGAACTTGAGAACAGTTGAGTGAGAGAAGAGAGGAGTGCTCCCCATGATGCAGCTGCTGACAGACCGGTCAGAAAAGGACCCCTGTTCACCACATTGCGCCCCATGGAAGCAGCATGTCCTCGAGGCCCGTCGGGAGTTGTTCATGTTGCGTTTCTTGCTCTATTGCTGCAAACCTATGCAGAGTCCGCTTCATCTCCATCCGCAGCCTATGTCCAAATTGTCTAGACACCCTACACAAAAGCTATAGAGAGCGAGAATTAAATGGCCGGTGCTCGGAGACGGAGGCTGAAACAAGCATAGTGCGCAGCGCCACGATTCACGGCGCGACAAAAGGGACGAACTCGTTTCTGCCGTCGAGATTGAGCGAGGTCTGCTGATAGAGTTCGATCCTTGGGACTGTCCTGAAGTCTTGACAGGTCAGTGACTGGGTGGTTGCTTAATCAATCTGGTCTTGGAGAGTCTTGGAGAGTCTTGGAGAGACACAGGGCCGGTAGAACAGGAACCATTATTCTGGGTCCAACCCAGTCCTCCTTGAGAAGTCTCCGACGCCGCCGCAACCCGTATCCTGCAGGGGACGTGGGATCCCAATCTTTCGTCTTTTCCATCTTTAGAGGGGGGCCAAGATTCTTGGGTCTTGGCTGTAAAAAGCTAGAGGACCCCAGAAGACCCAGTAGACTAGGAATACCCCAGCCTGCCGGAACCCCGCGTCGTGTCGTACGTCGCATCGCGGCATCGCTTTGTTGGTTCTGTTCTCTGTCCCATCACTGTCCGCGACCACGCAACCGCTACTCTGGTCCATTCTGAAGTAAGTAACAGTCGGGCGCAAGGGAGGCAAAAAAGAGAACGAGAAGATGGATGGAGGTTTGTGCTGACCCGGCGCGGCATCTCATCTTGCCCACCTCCCGGGCAGCCTGACCGCTTGACTGGCCGCAGAGTACATTGCCGATGCAAGTCGCTGAGCTCAGGTTCATGATCGACGGCTAGAAGCACAACCAACGGAAGAGGCTTTTTTTTTCTACTCTGTATGTACTTTTGTCAATTGTGCAGATAAATCAGCCGACGTTTCTACATCAACTACACCAAAACGCTCGTCAGCCTGCAGCTCCATCCAGTGACAGGTCCCTGTTTTTTGTTCTTCCAGACCACCTTGAACATTGAAGCAAACACTCCCCAGCTGCGATGCTACGCTGAAGGTGCACGATGATATCTGGGGAGATGACGCTCGTCGCCTTGGAGCGGGCCCGGGGTGGGACACCCAAGACAGCACTCTCACCATTTTCGGGATAACTGATTTTCTCTGACTGAGACACATGGAGCAATCCGTGAGCTGACAGGACATGGTTCTCCCACGGGACGGCCTTGACGTCAGCCAGAAAGTGGTAGCGATGTTCCCTGCTCTTCGTCACGATGCATGGCCACGTCAGGCGGCGCATCGTCAAAGGTCTAGTCTCGTAAGAATTTTTGTTTGTTTTTGCCCAGCTGAACTGCTAAAAGTCCCATTGGCAAAAACGGAGATATGGATGCGCTCACTGGGAACGGCGCCGCCCTGCTAGACCCCTTGGCCAACGCCGTCGCATCGTATTGAGGAAACGGAACCCCAGACACTCCCAGAGTGGCACCCGGAATACGGAGGACTAGCGACGCCCGAGATCGACAGCCGGGGGCCAATATTGGGTGAGCGGACACTCTTGTCTCCATCTTCCAAGACGCTTCTCAGGGCGGACAACTCCAAAGGGTCCCAATTCTTTGCGGAGTCCCGCCGAAATTCACTCTCTAACATCCTTTTTCGCAGCCTCGTCTTCTCTCTGGTCCTCATGTTTCCGCCGGATGCCCCGACAGGACGCCAAGACCGTCGTACCTGAAGCATGGGCGATTGGAAGGTTTCAAGATCCGCAACAGCATTGATTTGCCAAGACGTGTCGTCTCCTCTGCTCTGCGACTCGCGAGTGACAGCAGTCAAACACGGAGTGACGAACCCCCTTTACGAGTCAAGCGGCCGAAGCTGACGCTGCCGAAATTGAGCAATGGTGCCGGACGCGCGTGGTGTTGCTAATTGAACTGGCTGATGATTGCGACGCTTGTCAGAAACGAGATGGCAAAAGATTCGACGTTTTTGCCCAATGCTTGGGAAGAAACCGTCCCGACTCCCACCTGAGCTACGCGGCAGCACCTGAAGGTTACGGAGCCCAATCCGAACCGCGTGATCGGATGCCTCCTCTTTTCGTCCAGCACCGTCAGAAGCGAGGCGATTGCGAATTGGCTACCAAGTCGCCGGGTGTGATCAAAAGCTTCCTTTGCAGAGGAGTTGCAGGAAGCCAACGCAGGGCCAAAGTAGCTCGATATTTGTTCCTCGGGATCAAGTGGTGTATCGTTCTAGT